TGATTGATTTTTTTTAAAGAAAAAAGTTTCTGTCCCTTTAAATAAATACATTTTTAATGAAATAATTAGAAGGATAATATAGTAATTTAAATGCATGTGCCTTTTATTATTTCACAGTAAAAAATAGCTCCCTTAAACATGATTCATTATCAATAAAATCCAACTTTAAAAGAAGTCTCACCTTTAAGAATATATTTAATATTAGTATATAAAAATATTTTAAACTCAAAATAATAAATTTTTTCGTAACTTGTAATTTTTAAACTTAAAATAATAATACGTTTACTCATATTAAATGTTATAAAAATTATGTTTAAGTAAATGTTGTTTTTTCAAGAAAAATCACAGCTAATTTAAATCAGGGTTTTTTTTTAAAAAGCAAAGGCTACACATCATGGTTATATTCGAAATACATTATATTCTAGTTATAAATTTAGTCCTGAATACAAAATCTCACATTTAATCCCGACATAAATTGGCACACTATACTTTTTGGCCAGGTAGAAACTTATTGCCAAGATAGTGTTTGATTTTCATAAATTGTACCCTTCATGAGTCAATGAGAAGAGAGACTTACCTAAAAACGATACCAACTAGAAGCGCAATCCGCTTGCTATTAGGAGTGAGGGTTATAATTGTATTTTATATATTATATTTTATTTTTATTTATTTTTATTATTAAGTAATTTTGTGTTTTTACCAGGCTATAATTGAGGTAATAACTGCGCGCAGTCCATCACTGCCCTTGTAAAATTTTGGTAAAATAAACAATAAAACCACATTTTGGTGTTCATTTTTATAAAGCGCTTCAGCGAAAATTACCAAGCTTTTTGGTGTTTCCATAGAGTCAGAAACGCGGTAAATTTTACCATATTCCGGTTATTTTGACTATACTTTCTTAAATTTTAATTCTGTAACTTTAAAGCATTTTAAATAATCCTTAACAAAACTAAAGAAAACGACTGGTGAAATTATTACTATTTGTATTCATTTTTAAAGGAATTAATGATTTTGAAGGAAAATTAATTGATAATGTCAGCTCAATCTTAAAATTACAGGGCAAGGATTCTGAATTTTAAAATGGTTACTTGTGTAACTGAATAATTATGATACTTATGTGTCGTATGAATCACGTGGTTTTATAAAATAAATCATTAGATCCAGTTCTTTTTTCCTTTCTTTTTTTCTCTCTTCTTTACAGAGTCGAAATTAAAGTTTTCATGTACTTGATGCATACCCTCCAGATTTTATTTTCTCTTGTATTTGAAAAATATAGATAAATGTCAATAAATTCATTCTTTTTGTTTTCTGTAAATAGATGATGGATTTTTGTCCATTGAATATATAATAAAAAGTTTTTAACTGAAGTTTCCGAGTTTTGTTTCATCTGCCTAAGTTTTTCGTAAGCAAAGTTTCATTGAAAGCCATTTGACAGCTAAAAACTTCAGCGAGATTAAATTATCTTAAAGAAGTAATGAGAGATGTATTGTCAATTTAATGAAAGAAAATCCTGTTTACTGTACATCTTAAATAGCTAAAATAATAAAAATAACAATAATAAAGCACACTTACGTGTAGAAACTATAAAAATGGAGAAAAAAATAACGGAAACCGTGCACTGTAAAAAATTTTGATTCAATTTACGGTTTAAAGAACCAACAATTTGGGTGCATCATTCGTAAAATCCATTTTTACCGTGAACTATAATACATTAACATTCATTTAATTAGAATGATTCAGTGATTTTAAGGTAGTTATTACAGTAAAAATTGCGGTATGTAAGATTTTTTATTCCATAACATGTGTCAGCAGAAATGGATTTTACTGTAAAAAGCACCGACACCCTGAGTACGGGTACTTTTTACCGTCATTTGATTTGGAATTTTTTGCAGTGTACTTAAAATTTAAAAAAAAAACACCTTTTTGATATTTTTCAACAATTAGCAATTAAAAATCCCCTTCAAAATAGTCATTAATAAGCATTTTTACTGATTAAATTTTGCATTTGCCTTCTATCTTTTGTGCTTTATTTATTGCTTTCTCAATATATTTTACTCCTTCTCCTTTAGAGGAGATTAAATATATAATAAAAAATTTCATTTTATTTATTTTAAACAAATAGTTTTTCCCTTTTTCCGGGGGGAGGGTTTATACTTATATAAAAAGAAAACATGAGAAATTATTAACAATTAGTCTAAAAAGTAAGAAACTGTTCTCCTTTGAGAAATTGCTATACCTTTAGTTTCCTTTAAAAATACTCTTTGGAAATACTATATTTGATATTAAAAAACAAAAACTTACCAACTTTTTAAAACATACCATGACTAATGAAACCTTAAAAAATGTATGGGTAAAAGTAACTACAATAGTATTAAGAAAAATTCGGCATCTAAGACATAAAAACTTCTGACACAATCGAGATAGAAATATCCTGAGGCCCCTTTTCTGATTTCAGGTAAAGATAAAAGACAGGTAGGGAAGGTGTATTCCATGATTTATAGCAATGTTTCCTCTGTCAAGGGCTGTCAGCAACAATAGCTTAATTGCCACTGCCCTGCAACGTTACATCAGTTATTGTTGTGTAAGTCGTTCGTGAAAGCCCATCTAGAGACTGTAAGTCGTTTTTCACGCAAGCCCTCTTGCAGCTTTTCAGGCGCCTTCTTCACTTTTGGGAGTGACGTTTATCTAATGAAGTCTTTCACACTTAAATACTTTATTTCTGGAAGAATTCCTTTGAGTTATTTGGAGGGGAAACTAATTTCTAGACGAGACTAATTCTAGTTTTTTTCTTTCTTTTTGCTACAGTTAAGATTAATTGTGATTTGAATTCCAAAGTGTTGTAAGAATTCTTCAAGGAATTCTTAAACGAAGAAAAAAAGAATTAAAATTAGTAACACGGGTTTATGGTATCTTGCTCTTTAGAGAATATACATAAAAACAATATAACACATTCATATTAATAATATAAATAATATTTTATACTGGTAACTTAACATTATAAGATTAATAAGTAATTAATTACTGTATAATCCATAGAATATAGTATATAATGTAATTAGATTCTAGACGAGACTAATTCTGGTTTTTGTTTTTTTGCTGTTATAGTTAATATTAATTGTGATTTGAATTTCAAAGTTTTGACCAATTTTTTAAAAAAATTCTAAAACGAGGCAAAAAAAATTTTAATTGGTAACACGGGTTTCTGAATGTCTTGCTCTTTGAAGAACATACGGAAAAAACAATATAACGCATTAATATTAATAATATTATTAATATAAATATTATTTAATGTTAGCAACTCAATATTATAAGTATAACTAATAATTAGTAACTATATAATACATGGAATATAGTATGAAATATAATTAGTTTCTAGACGAGACTAATGCTAATTATTTTCTTTCTTTTACAGTTAAGATTAATTGTGATTTGATTTCAAATGTGCAATTCTACTTCTTTAAGGAATTCTTAAATGAGGGGGGAAAGAATTCGTATTGGTAACAAGCGTTTTTTGTGTCTTGCACTTTGGAAAATATTCATAAAGAGTCATTTAACACAATACTTGTTCATATTGATAATATAAATATTATTTACTATTGGTAGCTTAATAAAATAAGTATAATTAATAATTAGTAATTGTATAATATATAGCATATATTATATACTATAATAAGCAACTGAACAACTAATAACTAATAGTGATTCAAAACACGTAAAAAAATAATTAAAATTGGTAACAGTCGTTTCTTGTGACTTTTTTTTAGAGATTATATGTGAAAAAAAATTTAACAATACATTTATTCACCTTAATAAGGTAAATATTCTTTTATATTAGTAATTTAGGATTACAAGTAATAATTAGTAACTATGTAATATAGTATATAATTTACAATGCATAGTATATAATTTAATAAGTGACTTAGTAATTATTTAATATTAGTAACTTTTCCGAAAAAAGGAATTAAAATTGGTAAAATGGGCTTTTGGTGTCTCTTGCTTTTTAGAGAATAAACGTTAGGAAACCAATTTAACAATATACTTATTGTTTAAGTTAACAATAAAAATATTATTTGAAATTAATATAGCTTTGTATAAATTAACGAGTTTTTCTTTCTTTAAGCCGAAGATTGAAATTAAATAGTGATTTTAAAAACAATAATGTAAGTTGCTTCTCTAGGTTTTAGAGTTAAACTTTTAAAGAAAAAAATTGTGAATAATTTAAAAATCGATTGTTTAATTTTCAATGCAAAATTATGACTTACTAAAAATTAATGTATTTAAATTTTTCTAGATCAAACGTTTCTATTCTTTTAGTGACTATTAATGGAAATTAATAATAATAATGAAATGAATGGCCCACATTGCAGCATATTTAGGTTAGGAAAAGCTTATTTTAATTTTATTTATTAATTTTAATGTACGAGGGAGTGTTAAACACCTGACAATGAAATCTACATTGCAGAATAAATATTAAAAACTATTATATTTTTTTATATTACGTTCAAAATTATCAGGTTATACATATTTTAAAGTTATTGTGTTACTGGTTGAGAAACGCTTATGTCGTTAGATTATTTTTCTCTGTAAGTTTTTACAATATAAATGTTGAAGATTATCAAATAATGTGTCATATTCAAATAATGTTTTCTTAAACTTCTCACAATTCAGGCAACCATTTTTGAACTGTTCTAAACATTTTGTTTTGAGTTTATATTTATTCTTCATTTAAGATAATTCTAAATTTCTTCTTCTTGAACTTTACACCAATCCAGTCATATTAATAAAATTTAGTTATTTCAAGGGAATTCGTAGATAACTTCAAAATTAATCTCCATTACAATCATGGAAATTTTCTTCAGTTTCATTTACGAGTATATTTATGTATTTTTTTAAATCTTTGCATATTATTTTGCCTTAAGCAATTAGCTTTCACAATTTAATTTGGCATTTGAGGATCTATTCTGAAACTTCCATAATTATACGCATTTTTCTGTTTCTAGACGACTGTTCTAATTTGAAACCTAGTATTTATGGTAGAAATCAAAACGAATCGGAAACTTTTGGGAAATTTCCTCAAGAATTCAGGTGAGATATTATTACTTTGAGTCGATTAGGAAGTATGGAATCGTTGGTATGTTGAAATATTTATATTTTTGTCGGTCAGTCAATATACCCTTCTCAAAGGAAACGAAAGGTAAGAAAATAATCTTCTCTCTACCCTTACCAGGGTATAACCTAGAAATCCTGGAATAGTATTTAAGAACTTCTAATAGTTTTCTTTTTTCTAAAAAAAGCTAAATATGCAAAAGAGATAAATATGAGTATAGTTGGATTGAGGTTTGAATCGAGATCACAAATTTGTCTGGAAACTCGAGTGTTTGAATTAAGGTGACTTTATAACATTGCTTACACAAGGTTGCATCTTCGTTTTAGAAATCTTTTCACTAGTTTCTACTGTCCAGATTATTTAGAGTCATGCTCGTTTGAAATTTGAAAATTTTCCATTACATCGTTATCTTTGAAGGGATCTCAAATGGTTATTTTCATGGTTATCTTCGGTCAAATCTTTTCTGTTTCATTTCTTTGCATATTCAGTAAAGAACCGTAGTCTTAATCGAAAAAAGTTTTTGAGACTTTATTTCAGTTTCCTTTATCTTTCCGGTGTTCCATTAGTTGAGGGAATTCAATAACCTGATTCATTTTTTTCTCGATAATTTTTATTCGATAAAATGTTCATTCGCCTTCAATTGTGCATTAAGTTTTTTTTCTCCATATTTCATTTATTTTCTGACTCTCCAATGTGAGACTTATTCCCTGCAATCAAGCCACAATTAGTACATTTTTCAAGCACATAATTCCCATGAATTACTTTACATAGTTATTGTAAACTTACTTTGATTATCTAATATATCCAATAAAATTTCATTTAAGCCATAATTTTTAAAAGTTTAAATTTAGATTATCCATTAAGGTATATAATCTGGAAGTTGTAAGTACGTTTTTTTCATTCTTAAAAACAGAAACAAAAAAACAAAATAAAAAATAATAATCTTTACTCATATTTTTAAGTTTTAACAGGTAATTTCCCTTTTAGATATATCTAGAGTATAAGTATTAGTCATATTATCAGACAAAATTCACTGGCCTATTATATTTATGAAAATTTCTGGTGTAACAAGGCGTTTTCACAAAATGCTTAGCTTACTTTTGTAGATCTGAGGATTTTATGTATGTATATATCTTTTAATAGATGAAAATATACATTATGTCGCATAAATTATAACTATTTATGACACAAGCTCTGATTGTGGAAATGAATTTATTATATTTCGAAATTCATAAATAATTTTGAGCATTTGCGGAAATTTTTGCTTTCAAATTTTATTATATTTAGGATCAAAGACATAAACTATTGTTGAATTAATTATTTTTAGGAAAGTAATTTAATTTCGTGTATTCAACTTAAAATTCAATTCGATTTTAATCAATATTGATAAAAATTCCTTTTACCTACATAAATGTATATTGAAAATATAAAAATGGGTTTTTATAATAATATATTGCATAAGTTTTATTAAAGTAAGTTTTATTGAAGAACATTTTTATAACTTTATTATATGTGATGAATGATTTATTATATGTGTGCAAATGAATGACTTAGAATAAAATAATTATATTTTCAAAATTATTGCACACATAACAGTAAATCATATACGAAATTAATGAAAAATATGTCAATTTTTTCATTAACGATGTGTGACTTTTGTTACATGACAATATAAAAATGCATTCCACAATTGTTGTAATACCATCCTGTCAATGTTTTCTTCTGGTGCGTTCAATTAGTTCCTGCAGCATTTTTGGTATCTGTGGTTTATAAACAGTGTTTTTAATGTAACACTTTTAAAAGAATGCAATAAAGTACGAATACCTTGGTGGCTTTGGATAGCCACACGACCAAGACGTAGTTCATAAGCTACTGATGCTAAAAAGAATCCATTTGTGCAAGATTACACGGAAACAAATTTTATTAAAATCATTGTACTGTATAATAACAACATGTCTGGGAATAAAAAAAATTAGCCGAATAAATAATTTCTTATGCCATATTCTAAGGTATCATGATAAAATTACCAAGTTTTATCACAATTACCAAAATTTAACACACATTATAAAGCGTTATTTTACTGTACATTTTACTGAAATCAATACCGAAGAGCTTCAGTAAAAATTACCGAGTTTTTTTTTGTTTTGTTTTTCTTGTTCTCATAGAGTCACAAACACGGTAAATTTTCAAAATTTTAATAGTTTTGACCATAATTTTTTCTTTAGTGCAGAAATCGTTCAGAGAGTAAAACTACAGAATGTGTTGAATGAACTTAATTACAGATTTTTCTTTAATTTTATGTTTCATTTATTTTGATATATGTAATAGTTTCGAATATATAATTAGTTAAAATCCTATCATTAATTTGCTGCAATTGCTTAAAAATAATCAATTTATAATAAAATTTTTAGAAAGATTTAAGCTTTCAAAGCCTTTTTAATTTTATTTAATATATAATATAACAATGTGAATCATTTAGTGAAGAATTAACACACTCAGCCGATGACCCTTAGTTTATCAGTTTAATTATTTGAAGAGAATAAGCTTAATAAAGTGTAAAATTACATTAACTCAAAGGTAGTATTATACATCGTAAAGCACCTAGATATTCGAATTAATTATTTGTAAGATACGCAAAGATTAATCTATTGTTGCATTAACTGTTTCAGGGTCTATCGATTGTTCTATATTTATAGCTTCATTACGGTTGCAGTAAATTGATTGAGGTTAAATTGTTTCCTCTGAATATTTGACTGCTAAGGTTTATCTTGCAAATGCATTATCATTTAAACAGTAAAATTGTATTAATTTGATACTTAGCCATCATAGTTTTAATTTATTTGTTTTAAGAACAAACGATTATTTATTATAACTATTTTATGACTTAGTCAATCACGTGTTATAAATATTCTAATCGTAAAATCATTAAATAGATGATTTACATAAAAGTTGAAAAATATGAAAATGTAAAACTGAAATATATTACATTTTGAATGAAAATTTACTTAAAACAAGTATATGACAATACTGACTTCCAAGAAATGTTTAATAGCAAAAGTTTGCCCAAAATTTGTTTCCAAATAATATTTGATAACTAAATTTGTCTTGTTAAAGATTTTTATTCAAGCAGTAAGATTGTAGTAACTTGAATCTCAGCTATTATAATCTGAAGTTATTTGAATTACTAAAGGCTATTTATTAAAACTATTTTATTAGAAGTCTATCGAGTGTTATCAATATTTCATTAATAAAATTTTTAATCATTAAGATAATGTTTTAAGAAATGCAAAAGTGATTTAACAGAATCAAAGTTTAAAACTTTTTGATTTGTAGTTTTAAACTAATCAAGTTTATTGAACTGTCAGTTACTAACAAAAAACGTGATAGCAGATTTGTTAGTTTTAACTAGTGCAAAAATTAGCTGATATATATTTTTGAATATGCTTAATAACATAAAATGTCGACCTGTTTCTTAGATAAATTATATTTTTTTAAAATTACATACTTTCAATAAAAAACGGTTCAATATTAAACTGTAATGTGGCTAACTTGAACGGTACAGATTTGATACAACCTTAATATGGTTTAACTATCATTTCGTACAAACTAAACCATAATATCTTATATCACTTACAATAATATATCGATAATTGACCATCAGAATTTATCCCATATTTATTCAGAATAGTGTCATCCATTTCTTTAAGCACATTATTTTTTATAAAATTTGGAAGTTTGGAGTTATAAAGTGGTTATTAGAAAAACATCTAAGTTTAATTCAGTTATCAAACTAGTTTTTATCCAGTTTTCCTCACTAATGATAAGCCGAATTCAATCGTGTTTTTGTTTTTTTACTTAATTTAACATTAATTTGTGTCCCTTAAGAGGCATATATTTAATTCACTTTTTTTTATTTCAAGAATCCTAAAAACGCACATCATGGTCCAGCTATTTGTGTCCATGGAACAAACTGCATAAGTTTCAAATAAAGTAACAAATTTTTTAATGAGCAAAAAATTATCTTGTGTTTGCAAATAATAATGTGTTTTTTCAAGTAATATATATATATATATATACGTTTATTTTTTTTTCAGAACGAAAAAGAGGTAGACAAACCTATACCCGATATCAAACACTTGAGTTGGAAAAGGAGTTCCATTTTAACCGTTATTTAACAAGAAGACGACGAATCGAAATAGCGCATGCACTTTGTCTCACAGAAAGGCAAATTAAAATCTGGTTTCAGAATCGTCGAATGAAATGGAAAAAAGAAAATAAAGCCAAACTGGAGGCTGGTTTGGCAATGGGTCCTACGCCACCAGAACTGACACATCTTGGTGAACATCCACAGCAGTGAATGCACATCAACAACTTTGGTCCACTCTGATTTTTTCATCAATCTATAGCCACTGAATTCAAACAGTACTTGGTCAGTAAATGTAAGCCAAGTCAGATTTCAATTGCAATATTGTTTGCTCTTATTATTTTCAGTTAATATCATATGTAAATGAAATGCATCTGTACTGACACTGAATGCGTGACTTGCAAGAAATGAGAATAAAAGTAGCAAATTTAAATATTTATTGATATAAAGTACAAAGAAATTAAGGCCCAGAAGTTGTCAATAGAAATTTTTCAATATTTGAAATTGAGAAGTTTAACAAAATAATAATTTGTAAAACTTATACAAATTCGTTGGATAGGCAATATCGGTTTTAATTTATCTTAAAGGGAAACTCACCTTTATTTCGATAAATTTATTTATTAATGAACTTAGAATTAAAGATTGGATTATGAAATCTGAACAACTGAATCAAAATAGCTAAATAAAAAAACATGTGGATAAAGATTTTTAACTTCTTTTATTTATTGTCACATCTTTTTTAAATCACCCTGTTTAAATTTTTTTGTGCAGTCACTCATAGCATCTCGCAACATTCAGTTTCGTAGATGCACTGAGCATACATCGTCATGTTATTCAGTTAATATCTGTTAAAAAGATTGTGTATTATAAATAACAATTGAAACAAAAGAATGTGCAATTGAACAGCTTAAAGAAATGACTTTATTCTGCTGAATATTGAAAGCCCTAATTTGCAATGAAGAAAGATTAAAGTTGAACTAATTCTTATAATACTTTTTGGGCTATCTTACAAGGAAGAGAACCTAAATTTCTGAGAAACTGGCTTTAGTCACGACAAAAAAATGTCGTATGAAATCTGAAATACTTTTAAAGTAAGAACACACCGTTTTTTGGGAAGTGTATATTACTGCATAATTTGAAACTCATTAATTGGTTGACATATTTTTGTGTTTATATGTGTCGTGCTTTCAATTTATAACTTAAAACAAATATTGGTGGAGCGTTTTATATTGTTACGTTTTTGTTTTTATCTTGTTAGTTTTTTTCCTTCAATTTATTTCAATGGTTTATTATTTTTTTTTGCAAATTTATCTAACTGTCTCTAAATGATTTTAATAATATTTATTTAAAGAAAACTTTAATTTATTACTCTAAGATTTTAATGGTAGTTTTTTTTCTGTTATTATTAAGTTTAAATTTTGTTTTTCGTTCGAAATCTTTATAGTTTTGAAACACATTGCAATAGAAAAAAAAAATTAAATATATGCTTTGAAAAAGTTTTCCTTCAGCAATTTATGTTCATGATTGAAAGTATTCCTTTATTTGGGTTTATATTAAATATTAACACTAATATAAATGGAATGTAAGTATCATTTTCTTTTTAATGAATTGGAGTTGGTTAAGTACAAGTTATGAAATTTTAAAAATATTTTAACAGCATAACTTATTTATAGTGTAAATTCATTATTTTTTCATTGCATATATGGACTTAATTGCTCATTCCTATTTTAAAAAATATATATGTGTGTTGTAAATATTGTAGTAAAAACGATTTGACGGTGATTTTAGTTATACATGTATTGTTGTGATTATTTGTTCTTGTAAGTATTTGTCCTTTGCACGTTTTACTGCAAAAAGCATTCATAATTTAAAAGCATTTGAGAAGGATGTAATCTTTAAACTATATCTTAAGACTCAAAAATATTCTGATTTGGCAACTTTTTCTTTGATGCTTGCTTTGTACTCAATTTATAAAAACTATGTACCTTCTCATATTATTTAAATTATGAATACTGGTTTGCGTTCATTTACTATATATCATATCCGCTCAAAAAGCTAATTTTACCAATTTCGGAATGTAAATTACAAAAATTCTTGAAGCAAAAAACACATTTTAGTGTTCGAACTGATTGATAATTGATTTTTATCAGTGTAAAGGTTTGCAGTGATATTATTTTGTTTATTCAGTGATACAAATGCACCATTTTACTTCTGCGTGCTTGGATTAAAAAATTACTAAATTAAAAAAAATTTAGACAAGCAAAATCATAAATTTTATTTCTTGAATTTTTGAATTTTTTTGAATGATTCATAATTAAAAATTTTAAAAATTTATATTTTAGATTATCTTTTAATTTTTTTTTCAAATATTAAAATACTCTGTGAGAAAGTTCTCAACAAATGGTCAAATAACAATTTATTTAATTTTTTTTGTTTTTTACCATATTCAAACAATACAGTCAAGTAACCATAAATAAGATTGTATTCAAACTGTGATCTGTGAGAAAAGTCGTTTATTAACTGCTTTCACCTAATACTGTTAAGCAACCAGAATTTAATCAATTCAACTAGGCCCACCCATGAAGCTACTTAGTTCCCTGCAACTGGGCACATATAATAGCAGAGAGGGCTAATCTGTCACTCTTATGACCGACAGCTCAAAGGTTCAAGTCTAAGCATTGATACCTCAATATTTCTAACATTCCATTTAACACATGAAGAGTCTCCAGTGTCCTGCACTCTCCAATTTGTGACCCTGAACTATTATAACTATGATACGCTCATTCAAGCATGGATGGTATCACCATAAAACTGCTTAACACGAAAAAGTCAGGTAATTTCCTTCTCTTGACATCCTGATAAATTAATAAATCACATTCCAAGGTTCATTTGATAAAACAACACTCAACCACAACCTAACTCCAATGCTCTTTACCTAGCAAAAAACTTAGCACAAATCTCAAGTTTTGAAACCATGAAGCAAAATCCGTATAGTTTTGTATTCATGTTTTTTTTTAACTATACTAGTTGTAAGCGGTTTCAAAACCGTAAATGATGCCTGTTATTTTACCGAATGAAAATTCTGACAGTGATAGACCAAATATACTAAAATCTAATACTTTTAAAAATTATTTTATTAATCTCAGAAAATTTAAAAACAATAAGAGCAGTTCATTTATAAATGGAAAACTGAAATGTAGCTCTTTCATACTTATATTTTTAGAAAATAATTAAAAAAAATTTAGTTAATTATTTATCTTCTACATTATGACTATTGTATAATGAAAATTAGTATATAAACTATTATTTTTCTCACCATGCATTCAATTTTTGAAATATATTTATATTATTAAAAAAATAAAAAAATAAAATAATGCATTTTGAAGTTTTCGTGACATCATCATCGAAACTTTAGATTATTAAAAATACATACACAAAGTGTATGATTAATTTAACATGTTCTTCCGATTTTGAGCTCTTTTTTATTCCTTCTTCTTTTATACTTTCTCGTGAGAAATACTCATGCAATTTAAATTTTTCTCGTTTCTAAAAAAACGCATAATAGAATAAGGAGAAAATTCTAGACCTTCGAAATATTTCCAGAAAATCTGTGGTCACAGAAGTTCAATTTCATCAGAAGTCAATCAATCATCAAGTTGGCTCTTAAAAATTTTCTTTTTTCTTATAAATTTTTCCCAGGTAGAAGGAAACCTAAGCTTTCTATGCTTGACATGCTAAAGTCAAATTTAAACAGACGTTTAAAAAGCAAAGAATTAAAATGTATATCCATAACGAATAGTGAATGCTTTTCTTTCTCCTTTCATCTTAGTATGCAACAGTCCTTTTCAGATTCTCACAAAGGATTCCTAGAGTTATCTATTTCACTGTACCTGGAAGAAAAGGACAATAAGTTACATCCTTTGGCCCAGTTACAATGAAACTGAATTGTCAGATTGACGCAACCCCTCAGCACTCCCTAAAAGGTGAGAATGTCCAATTTCCCCTGACACCCTGCATGGTAGGGTGTAGAAAGTGAACCTTTCGTATCCGAATTTTTTACTCCTTTTCCGAGTTAGTTTAAAGGTTGGAAAAAGGATTTCAAATAACTGTATGTGTCTAAGTAAATCAATATTTTAGTAAAGCACTCATTATATATTCATTTTTTGTTAAAAGTCGAGTTTTTCGTCGCATTTAAATCAACTACAAAGCTGCAGGTTGGAAAAAGTAAAATACCTTGCATATGTTGTAAACAGATTACTTATAATTTGATTAAAATTTAATACTGTTTTATAACAAATCTGCTTAACTCTTTGATGTAGGTGGGTGTCCCTTTTGTACAGATTTTCTTTTCTATTTTTTTCAGACGCTCTAATTACAACCAAAAATATGTTTTGGTAATTTTTTTTTATTGTGAAGACAGTGTGATAGAAAAGTAGGGGGAACTTTATTTTTTCACTCATATTCAAATATTTATCAATACTTGATTTCGCGAATCAAAGAAATTTTAATAATGAATAACTATTTCACTTAGATCTAAATAACTGCAACAAAGCGTAAATTTTAAAAATTATTGTTTGGATGTCGTGCATGGAAGATTTTACCTATAGTGCAAAAAAAGACACCAGTGTATCATCCTGTATTTTATAACCCTATATTATTAAAATGCTAAATATAATATTTTTCTTGTATTTTGACCTTAATTAATACAAAATAATGAAAAAGTATGAAATAAAAAAGTATGAAGAAGTATAAAAATTTTGCTATAAAGGGTTAATATCAAGATCTTTCATGTAACTGTAATTTTTTAAATTTTACTTTATTTATTTTGTATTTTCTATGAGGTGGCCTATCTTATTTGAAGAACTTAGTAGAAGAATCAAATGAGTGACATTTTAAGAGTGGCTATAATCAGGGTAAGAAGAGCTAGTTTATGATAGGCTAAGACGGGGCTAATAATTATTTGCCTTTTTTTCATTTACCACTACTTAATTTAAAATAAGAGTCATGCAAGCTGAAAAATCAAACTAATGTGGATTAGTTATATTCAAATTAAAGGAAAGCAAAAGAACTTTGTTACATTAAGCGTGCCCCAAATTGATGCGACCACTTTATTTTCCCGGATTAATAAATACCCCGGAAAATGTCACTTACCAGTTTTTTCTACCAAGTTCTAAGGATACGACCCGTTATCCGGTTCGAACAAAAATTTTTACTATGAAATTGGTTACTAAAATGCACTCTAAATAAACATACACTTTTTTCCTACAGAGTTTGAGTACATTTACAAGAGTGTGAAGGTCTTACGGTTTATACATTTATTTATTTTTAGTTCACTGAAAAATTTATGCACACCAAACTTTATGTAAACATATGAGGTACATTCTTACAGTATTATATCACACTGATATTTTTACTACATTTATGATTCATAGTACTGTATTTTTAAACAGTAGTGTATTTTTTGTTATGCATAACAATAAAAACATTTTGAAACGAAACGCTCGCCAAAAAATAGTTATGAATACATTTTTCTGTTGGATTTTTTTTTTTCAATTTTCTATAAATTTAATAAAAGTGGTTAGGGAAAAATAAGAGAAAAGATAAGCAGCACATAATTAAAGATAAAGAGTGCATAATTTTAAGAATTTTTAAAATTTTTTAATGAAGAATTTTTT